GGCAAAGAAAGAATTTACACTGTGTTGAATTCTCAACAGAGGTCTCAACCGATTCCATGGGGACCTCTGAAGCGACAATGGCCCCTGGAGTGGCTCTGAATGAAGGCAGAGAGCCAAGTCTTGGGACCTCACATCAGTCATTGAATGTGGGCTGCCCTAATCCATTCCTGTGGAACCATCAGAGGAAATACAGTTTTCCTAGAGCTTTCATGAAATGCCCAACTTAAAGGAAAAGACTTGTATGCATGCATATAAGCATAACCAATGGACATAAGACTCTGGTGGATAGGGGAGGCTAGTGGACTGTCTTGGGCGGGGGGAAAAAATGGACACATATGTAATATCCTTTGTAATAAATAATAAAATTTAAAAAAAAAAAAAAAGATGTGGTATGTATATTGTTCAGCCATAAAAAAGAATGGAATCTTGCCATTTGCAACAACATGGTTGGACCTTGAAGGCATTATACTAAGTGAAATAATCCAGACAAAGAAAGACCTATACCATATGATCTCACTTACATGTGGAATCTAAAAAATAACAACAACAACAACAACAAAACACAAGCTCATAGATACAAAGAATAGATTGGTGGTTGCCAGAAGTTGGAGGAGGAATGAGTGACGGGGTCAAAAGATATAAACTTCCAATTAATAATACTGAACTACATATTTGAAAGTTGCTAAGAAGTAAATTTTAAAAGTCCTTATTACAATAAAAAAAGAAAAAAATTGTAACTATGTATGGTGAGGATGGTGACTAGACTTACTGTGATTACTTCATAATGTACACAAATATCAAATCATTGTTGTACAGCTGAAACTAATATAACATCATACGTCAATTATATCTTATTTAAAAATACATTTTTAAAAATTAAGTTTTGCCTGCGGACTGAAAGGTTCCAGGTTCGATTCCGGTCAAGAGCATGTACCTTGGTTGCGGGCACATCCCCAGTAGGGGATGTGCAGGAAGCAGCTGATCGATGTTTCTTTCTCATCGATGTTTCTGACTCTATCTCTCTCCTTTCCTCTCTGTAAGAAATCAATAAAATAAAATAAAAATTATTAAAAAATTAAGTTGTGTCCTGCCAAGTTAAAGTGGCTTGGGAAACACCCTGGGCTTTCCACAGATCTTCTCCAACAAAGCATGAAGACACTAACCAATTAAAAACTCACTGGAGGGCCTTAACAGCAGATTGGAGATGGCAGGAGAATCAGTGACCTTAGACACAGATCAATAAAAATTATCTTAAGATCAGAAAGAGAAAAAATGTTGGTAAAAGATAAAAGCGCCTCCAGGACCTGATATATGGTGTAATTGGAGTCCCAGAAAGAATAGAGTAAGAATAAGGCAGGAAAAGTATTTGAACGAAATAATAGACAAAAATTTTCCTAATGTCATTAGAGAGTTTTGGGGTTATGAGTTGCTCCTAGAATGGAAGAAATGCCTCAGGACACACATTTGGAAAGAGCTAAACTCCTGGATTTTTCAAGGAGGTTGCAGGTGGGAGGAGAGGGGGTGAGAGTGTACTGTCAGCTGTTGATGTAATGGCCTTGTATATACAAAAATCACAGAAAAAGCACTTAAGCCGACTAAGGTGCCAAAGCCTCAGTGAGCTTGAACTTTTATAGAATGACAGCTACAGCTACTGAGTAGCTACTCTGGGCTGGTTTTTTATATTTTATTCACTCACATAATTCTTATGAAAACTCTGTAACATAAGTATTATTATCCCCAATATTCCAGATATTATCACAAAGGCTAGGAGAGGTTCAGTAGGTTTGTCCAAAGCCGCACATCTGAAGGGGTGGAGTTGTGATTCAAACCCAATGCTGATTCCAACATCTATTCTCCTAACAACTATGCTATCCTACCTCCCTTTAAGTTGCTCTTTGACGATGTATCTTCCCTTTCAAGGAAGCCTTGGGTTCCCCAAGTATATAAATGCAGGAGGTGGCATGGTCCATAGCCCAGAACCCTTAAGCTGAAGGAAGAGGACTTACCTGGTCTGGAGATCCCACAGTGCACAGGACCACTTCAGGGCTTTCAAAGGCTGCTGGAACTCAAAAGACTCCTGTCTATGAAATAGGGTCCCATAGAGTTTGCATTTCCAAAGGCTCTTTTCATGTTGAACTAATCAAAATGTAGAGCACAAAACAAGGGTCTAAATCAGAGTAAGCAGCTGAGTCTCCCTCTTGGTCCTGGCCACTGGCAGTCTGCTGACTTCTGCCCTGGACAACCACATTATCTGAAGCCAGAAAACCACACCAGCGAGAGGCCTGCATTTGAGGACAGTACACAGGCCACACAGGTGCCCAGGTGCAATGAATACGTAGATGCCCAAGAGTGAATAAAAGTTCTAAATCCATTCAACAGCAATTTGTTGAGCATCTATTGTATTTCAGGCACTGTTCTGTTTATCTTGCTAGAATAAACATAAATGAGAGCCAGCATTCAGAATCTATCTGGTTCCACGCAGAGTCCACAGAGGATGTGCCTTTCAGGAACATCCTGGTCCTGGTGGGCACAGACCAGTGCCTCATGAAGCCTGGCGTCATCACCACCTCCGAGCACACTCTCCACCAGCAGGTGATAAAGTGTAGCCTGAGCCCTGTCCTTAGGGTCTCCTGGAGGCCAACAAGCTGGCTGGTGGCGGGTCTGAGGCAGCCGGCCAGGCCAGGGAGCACTCCTCCTGAGGCAGGGGTGGAAGGGGAGGGCCAAGCGATGTACATGGAGATCTGCCCGAAGGTCCTGGAGAAGAACCACACACCTGCATCCGGATCAAGAAGTCCGTCCCGGCCATCTCCTGCTGCGAGGCTGTCAGCTCGTGCCCAAGTCCCCCAAAAAGCACCACCCACTGGGCATGAAGGGACAGCCCTTCTCCAAGAGCGTGGCTGAGGACACCGCCAGGTGCAAGATGTCCGCCCCCCAGGCAGCAGCCCGCCATGGCCGAGAGTGGGAGTGGGCCTGGCCGAGGCCCGCAGGATCTAGTGTCAACGTCCTCACCGCTGTCGCCAAGCGTGTGCAGTACCTCAGGGAGACCATGGACGGCACGGGGCGGGCTTCCGTGGGCCCCCAAAGGCGGGGCGCCGTGCGAGGACGTGAGGATGTGCCTGCGGGTGTCGCTGCACGCGGACGCCAGGAAAGTTCTCCCGGGATGCCCAGGGCCACCGGCGTCTGGTGCTCAGGTCCCGGTGCCCTCCCTTCGCGGAGCCCGGCGTCTGTCACCAGTGCCGGTGGTATCTACGTTGTCCTGAACGGGAAGCGGGGCGCGTCTCGGCAGAGTTCCCGGTGGTTGATGGACGTCCCGTGTCTGTGGTGACGCCCGCCCACGGGCAGCGGGTCCTCCGGCTTCACGGCCACCCCGAGGCCCCAGGCCTCCGCCAGGTCCGTCTCACCTCGGTAGAGGCTGTCTGCGGAGCCTGACGCCACCAGTCACCCAGCCTGACGGCAAAGTCCCTAGGGAAGGCATCCCAGCCCCAGGCGACTTCCCGGACAGACCAGCCCGCTCTCCCGAAGCCCCTGCGCCCGCCCCGCACCCACCACAGCGATAAGCCTCACAGGTGCCTCACGACCTCTCGACCTCTTGACCTCTCGACCTCTCGCGAGACTGTCGATGCACAGAGATGCCCCACCCACCCGACAGGTATCTGGCGCCCACCCCGCGCAACGCAGCAGGAACACATGATGCCATTTCTTTCAACTTGCATTTTAAGATCTCAGGGACAACAGAAATGTCCTCGCAGCAAGCACGTATTAGGCCGGTGGGGGTGGGGGTGGGAGAGGGGATGGGACAACCAACACTTTTTTCCCCATTTATTCAGAAACTCGAATGTCCAACAAATATTTTTAAATAAACGCACTAAAAGGTTTATTTGGGTAAATGGCCCATAGTGGATTTTCTTCCAGAAAGGGGGGAGGAACGAGCAAATAGACGTTTCTCTGGAGGGAAACTACAAGGCAGGAAATCTTGGGCGGTGTCACCGTAAGCACCTCCAGCTACAGTAGTGCCATTGGAAAAGTAAATTTATTGTGGTGGTGACAACAACAAAAAAAGAATGGCAGAGATAGATGATGGGCAACATAAGGAAACGACTGACGCACACAGAGATTCTAAGCACAGAGAAGGAAGTAACTCAGCTTGGGGATGAAAGAGTAATTCACTCACACATCCCACAAACATTTCCTAAACACATACTGTGCATGTGCTGCAATGGCCCAACACCTGGACCAATGCATTTTCCAGCAGAGGAAAACAGAGACATTTCAGGCAGAGGAGACCACCTACACATAGATGCCTGAGTGATCATGACGTGTTTGAAGAAAGACACCAAGTTTTGGAGAATAAAATTTAAAGGAGGAAATCAGCACATGTGGCTGAAGTACGCAATAACACATACTATATGTTGAGTATAATAATTCATAAAATGCATAAGGTGCCATAATTCATACTATATGCAGGAAACAGCATAAGTTTTGTGTAGGTTCACACCCCAGACCCTGTTTATATATATTAGGTGCTTGATAACCATCTTTAATTGCTGGTAGGGTCAACATGCTTACACCCATGGCAGTGCCTGACCTTACTGGCCTCAGCCTATGACCCTCTTGAAAGGGTGTCAGGTAATCACTTTTCTCTCCTTCTGGCTGAAGGACCTGCAGTTGGTGGTGGCTCTTTCTAACCCAGCAAAGGATTGGTGCCATCAGATAGAGCATGGCTACCTCTCCCTATACTAACTTTCCATCTTTCCTGGACTCCACTGGGAGAAGACTTAGGTCATTCTTTTCCTGAGAAACTTGTGTACAACCCAAAGCAGTAGCGAGTTATGCCTTTAAAAAACAAACAACAACAAAAAAAAACCCCTTAACATCTTCTTTTATTTCAGAAGAACAAACCTCCCATATTTAGGGATTTTAGAAAGTATCTTCACGGCCCTGGCTGGTGTTGCTCAGTTGGTTGAGTGTTGTCCTGTGCACCAAGAAGTTGCTGGTTCGATTCTTGGTCAGGGGCATGCAGGAGGCATTGATGCTTCTCTCACATCAATGTTTCTTTCTCTCCTTCTTCCTCTTCTCTCCCTCTAAAATCAATAAGCACGTATTTTTTTTAAAGAAGGAAACTATCTTTATGAAGGCTCACTCCCTTCCTAATTCATTGTGTTAAAAGAACAGGGACTTTTACCAGTTGATGCAGAAAGAGTTTGGAACAGCCTAGGTGTATTAGTTTCCTAGAGCTGCCATAACAAAGTACCATAAACTGAGTGGCTTAAAACGACAGGAACTGATTCTATCACAGTTCTCAAAGCTAGAAGTCTGAAATCCAGGAGTCAGCAGAGTTGGTTCCTTCTGCAGACTCTGAGGGAGAATCTGTTCCATACTGCTCTCCTAGCTTCTGGCTACCACTGGCAGTCCGTGGCATTTCTTGGCTTACAGATGCCTCATTATGGTCTCTGCCTCCATCATCCATGCTGTTCTCTCTGCTTGTGTTTTCACATCACCTTCTTATAACAACACCAGATCTATTGGATTCAGGACCCACCCTACTACAGTATGACTTCATCTTATCTTAACTAAAGCAATGACCCATTTCCAAATAAGGTCACATTCTGAGATACTGTAGGGGGTTAGAACTTCAACATATCTTTTGAAGGAACGCAATTCAATTCATAATACTTGGGCAAATTGGAAAAGACCAATCCTCACAAGAACACGAGTTGCATGAGAAATGGGACAATAAATACTTTTGTTGGAGGGGGATACAGGGACAGCAGCATTCTGAGGTTGGAGGCAACTTTTACTTAAATGAAAGAGAAGGACATCGCTGGGGGTTCAGTGAGCATCAGAAAGGAGTGCAGGCTAAGGAGAATACCAAGAAAAACAGAGAATAAGAGCATCAAAAGGGACAGCTGGTCAGGGGGCTTTGTTGATGGGGTAATGGCTGTGGAGGCTGGAGATCTGAGGCTTGGGGATCGGTTTCCAGAAGTAACTTCAGTGCACTTGGTTGTGTGGAGGCAGGCTTTTGCAAAGTGTATTAGAGTCAACTTAGAATTTGCTTTAGAATGGTCTGGGTGGTAACCAGCATACATAAGTATAAAAGTATGCCTGTCATGGAAAAACAGGAGAGCACAGTAGCCCAAACCGAGGTTTGGCATTGGACAACCCAGGATGAGACCAGGCCTCTCTGTCACTTACCAATCACTTAATTTCTCTGAGCCTCAGTTTCCTCCTCTGTAAAGTGAGACAATCCTACCCCATATATCAATTGTGGGAATTACATGAGGTAATGTATGTATAACATCCAGAACATAACTTCACATAGTAGGTGCTCAATAAATGGAAGCCTTTTATATTAGAAAATAACTTTTATTTGCAATAAGAATACAAGGAATTCCTGCATACCTTTTACACAAATTCACCAATTGCCTACACTTTCCATTTTTCTCCATTTGTTATCCATGCATGTTTCTATAAATATACACATTTCAATTTCAATTTCCATTTCTATTTCTACCTATGATTTTTCTTTACATCCCTAAATTATTTTATATTAAGTTTAAAGATACTGTGTTCCTTTACCAAATATTTCAGTGTGTATTTCATAAGAACAAAGAAATTTAACCTGATACAATACTATTGTCCACAATCCATGTTCTTTTTCTAATACTTTATTTTTATAGCAGTTTTAGGTTTACAACAAAATTGAGAGAAAAGTACAGAGATTTCCCACATACCCTCTGCTCCCACACATTATTAACATCACTTGCCAGAATGGTACTTTGTTTTTCACCAAGGACAAACCTGCATTGACACAATAATCACAAGTCCATTGTTTTCCTTAGATTTCACTCTTGGGGTTGTACATTCTATGGACTTGGAAAATGTATAATGACATATACCTATCAATATAATATACAAAATATTTTTAAAATATATTTTTATTGATTTCAGAGAGGAAGGGAGAGGGAGATAGAAGCATCAATGATAAGAATCATTGATCAGCTGCTTCCTACACACGCCCTACTAGGGATTGAGCCCGCAACCTGAGCATGTGCCCTGACAGAATTGAACAGTGACCTCCTGGTTCATAGGTGGATGCTCAACCACTGAGCTATGCCAGCTGAGCTACGAAATATTTTCACTGCCCTAAAAATCCTCTGTGCTATGCCTATTCATCTCTCCCCACCTCCACTCCTGGCAACCACTGATTTTGTCTCCATAGTTTTACCTTTTTCAATATGTCATATAGTTGAAATTATACCATATGTAGCCTTTTCAGATTAGCTTATTTCACTTAGTAATATGAATTTAAGGTTCCTTCCTGTCTTTTCGTGACTTGATTGCTCATTTCTTTTTAGTGCTGAATATTATTCCATTTTCTGGGTGTACCACAGTTTACCCATTCACCTACTGAAGGATATCTTGTTGCCTCTGAGTTTTGGCAATTATTAATAAAGCTGCTATAAACATCCTTTTGCAGGTTTTGTGTAGACATAAGTTTTCAACTCTTTGGGTAAATATGAAGGATCATGATTGCTGGATTGTATGGTAAGAGTATATGTTTAATTCCTAATTTCATAAGAAACCACCAAACTGCTCACCAAAGTGGCTGTACCATTTTGCATTCCCGTCAACAATGTGTGAGAGTAGGTGTTACTCCACATCCTTGCCAGCATTTAGTATTGGCAGTGTTCTGGATTTGGGCCATTCTAATAGGTGTGTAGTAGTATCTCACTGTTGCCTTACTTTGAATTTCCATGATGATATAAAATGTGGAGTTTCTTCCATATATATATTTTCATCAATTATCCAATAATATCTTTTCTAACTATTTGATATTCCCCAGTCCATCTAATCCTATATTACAATGTGTTGCATTAGTTTTCATGTTTCTTTAGTGTTCTTTAATCTGGAAAAGTTTCTTAGGTTTTCATTGTAGTATTTAACCTTGATAGTTATGAAGTGTACAAACCAGTTATATTGTAGAATATCCCATAGGTTGGGTTTGCCTTATGTTGCTTCATGATTATGCATTTTTGTCAGGAAAATCAAAGTAGTAGTGTTGTGTCTTTCTTGGTACATCATATCAGGAGGCACATGATGTTAGTTTGTCTGTTCTTAGTGATTAACTTTGTTCACAGCTAATAGTTTAGCGATTAACTTTGATCACTTAGTCATCTTTTTTCGTTGTTATTATTATTAAAAATGTAATAAGGGCTCTGTTTTAATATGATTCTCTTTTTACTGACAATAAAGTCATTACGTTTCCTGTAACCTTCATGGATTAGTACACCTGAATTTGTATTTTCCACAGTAATCACAGAGCAAACAAAACTGGAACAGAAAATGGTCTTTCTGGGTGAGCCAGTAGGAGGTAGAACTTGGACTTGTTGAGTTTGATCCACTAAAGGCCCAATTCTAGGAAAATCGCTCTCCATTTTATTTTATTATTATTATGCTTACTCTTCACCCAAGAAAATTTTTCTATTCATTTTTAGAGAGTGGAAGAGAGAGGGAAAGACAGAGAGAAACATTAATGTGAGAGAAACACATTGATTGATTGCCTCCTGCATGCACCCTGACCAGGGCTCAGGCCGGGGAGGACCCTGCAACTGACCAGAATCGAACCAGGGAATCAAACCTGGGACTCTTCAGTCCACAGACTGACACTCTATCCACTGAGCAAAACTGGCTAGGGCAATTGCTCTCCATTTTAAAACAATCCCTCTCATACTCTACATTTATGTTTTTACTTAATTTATTTCTGAATTTATTGTGATTGCACTTATGTGCTCACCCTGACGACTCAGGATTCTTCTCAGGGAATGCATAAGCACAGAACCATTTGAGATGAGGCTTGGGACTTTCATCTTTCTTTTAGGAAAGCTCGATTCAGTTAAATTTTTATTTTTATCATTATTATTATTATTATTATTTCAGAGCTCCTAACTTGAAAACTAAAAGTCTTATCTGGGGTTGTGCTGAGCCTTCAGTCTCTGAGGGAACATGGAGTTAGGCTTTGGGATCTGTGCTTCAAGTATGAAAGAATTATTTATGGTCACAGTGTTTGAACAAGCAAAGGGAAACCATAACCTTCAAGCTTTATTTTGGTCGTGCTGTGTATCATTGAGTGGGTGGAAGGAAGAAGATTTACCTTTAGTTCAGATGAAATATACCTAAAAAATAATTCATATCCATTGAAAAGGTCAGCTTTGTATCTCTTGCTTAAGTTTTTCAGAAGAGGTAGTGCCTTGCATTCATTTGATATTCCTGAAGAAAACCTGATCGTGCACATCTGAACATACATTTGTTTTTACAGAGTACCGTCTAATGCAAGCACACTTTTCATTCCCTTCACCACTAATGAGCAAAGGTTATAATTCATATCCCTGTAATGCAGCTATAGCAAAACACTGCCAAATATAGCCATGTCTAACTGTTATGGCTATCTTTAAGCTTAGGGACCAGAGCTGCAATAGCTAGCACTATAATTAGCGGCTTAATCAGTCTGACTTAGGAAAACACACCTCTGAGTACTATTCTTGCACTGAACACCCAGTAGATGACTAATTGCTAATTTAAAAATTCAGAACCATGACTCTGTAGAATGTCTATAACAATATAAAATGCTAATTATTCATTAAGAATAAGATGGGCATCTATTGCATGTCTCCAACGTACTAAAGGTTAACATTAAGGATTTTATGCAGACCATGTTCATAAATTTACAAATTGTGCCCATGAATTTAAATCCTAGTAATTCAGCTTATTAAACTCCAATTATATCTTTTCCCTTAAAAGGCAGTATTTTACAAGTAGAATATTATTGTATTCATTGAATTGTGTGATTCCTTATACATGCTGACCTGGTTTTCTATTTCCCCTTCTCACTTAATATTTCAGTGTGAATGGGGGACTGTTACAGATATTTCAGACCACTTTCTTTCTTATGCCTCCAAGGGCAGCCAGAAATATGTCTGCCATCCAAGCCAAGCTCTAATGCTCCAGCTAAAGGAAAAGGATCCCCACACAACCTGTGACTCACTTTGGTACTGGTGCCCAGGAAGGTGACAGCTCTCCTCCCCAAATGGGGCTGAGCCCACTCCAAACTGGTTCTTGGAGAGGCTTACATGGAGGATACATTATTAAGGATTGCTGCTACTTCCCAGCAGGCTCTCGACACCAGTGTGGCTAAATTTCAGGCCAGGAGATTGCCTTCGATCTAAATTTCCCGACAATTTAATTTTTTTTAGAGAATTAGTATGTATTTATTTGAGCCAAACTGACAGCACTTGCTGGGAAGCAAAATCTCAATGGAATGAGAAAATGCTCCTCCTACAATTTTGACTTGATGAAATATAACTGTCCTTCCTAAGGCATTTGGCCCTAGAGGCAGTTGAATTAGTGGCAAGTCGTTTGTAACAGGAAGATTCATAGGATATTCATTCATTCTGCAAACATTTATTAAGTGCCTGCTGCACACCAGTAACCAGGAGGACATGAAATTGAAAAACATCTGGTCTCCTTTCTCCTGGCAGTTTCATCTTCATAGATTGCACCTGAACCTCTGTAGAAAATGATGGTGCTTTGCCAGGTAGGGATGAGGTTCCAAATCATTCAAAACCTCATAGAAAGAAATCATACAATCCCTAAAGATACCTATTCCAATTGTTGGTACTCTTCATAGCCAGGAAGTTTTCATGTATTCTAATTCAGACTTTCTCAATCTCCGTACTGGTGACATTTTGGACAGGATAATTTTTTGTCATAAGGGCAGTTCTGTGCATTATAGGATGCTCAGCAGTTTCCTAGGCCTCTACCCACTAGATGCCATTAGTAACAATGGACTCAGTGATTCTTCACCATTTTCTTATGAGCATTTGGTATGCAATTCAGTAATAGCTAGGGAGCCTCCCCTTCGAAAGGTGTGCACATGCACATACGTGTAATTTTGCACATAATTTTAGGAGATTCAAAGCTGCCACCTCTCCAAGCCCTTTCCTTGACCCCAGATTAAAATTCTGTATTTTAAAACTAGTGCTAGTTCCTTGAGTTCTGGTTTTGTGAGGTGACAAAATAAAGCAAGCCTGAAAAGACTTGTTCTGTTCTAGGTCAATGCCCCAGGCACTGTTAACCTTTTCCCAAACATCCTATTCTCTTGTCTCCCTTGTCATTGCTGCCTCTGTGTTTTTGCCAACCCATTATTGCTCTTTGCTTTAATTACTGATTTTGATAGCATGGAGTCATATTACTCAACAATAGGAGATTGGATGTGTCCACCTTCTCTCCTGCCTACCCACCACCCAGCAGCTGCTAAAGAGAACCTTTGAGGCTAATGTAACACTGCTGTGAGCTGTTCCCTCATTTGCCTCTTTAAACTGTCTCCCCTGGAGAGAGACGGGGGGCGGG